TGCAAACAAAAACATATGTTGCCATTCAACTACAGACAAAACAGGAGATCCTTGGGTACAAAGGAGGGATGAAAAGGAGGTTTAGAGATGTTTTGTGTTGTTCTGGATCTACCACCACTCTCCTCCAACAGCACAGAGGTAACCCAGCAAACCACCCTCAGGAAAACCAGACACACAGCAATTCCTTCCACAAAAAGAAAAGAAAAGAATCTTCTCCCTCCAGAAAAAAAGTAATTTAAAGAACATATTTAAGTGCAAAATCTGCCTAAAATATGTTGGATTTTTTCTTTACAGTGTTGGAAACCACAGTACTGTGGCATGCATGTACCAGAGCCCATCAGGCAGCAGTGGGGGAGTTGTAGAGCTGAGCCACTTGCAGAGGAGTTGGAGCCTCACTGCAACACAAGCTAACAGAGCATCACCAATTTAATTGACTGATGATTTAATAAAATGCCCTGGATATAGATTAACTTGCTTTGCTTAATGTAGCTCAGCTTCCTGGCAGCAGGAACTGGCACCACACTGTTCCTGGGCTGGGAGCTGGGCTGCCCAGGGGCTGCATCCACCACTTGCCTCACCCAAACCTTTCCCATTACCCTTCCCAAAATAATGAAGTGTAACACTAAAGCTCAGATACAGGCAAGCAGATACACACATAAAAAAATAAGCTTAAACCTTATCTATGCTTTATTAAAGTTCCTAATTCAGCTTTGTCAGTCCTGTCTTTCTCCAGAGCCAAACACCCTTAGTCTCAACATTAAGTTTCTTCTTTTGGACCATTTCAATCTCATAATTGTCAAAAAGATAATCTCCTGGATTACTTAATTCCTGCCCAAAGCCTGTGAAGATATGAAGCAATACTGGCTTAACAAAAGCAGCGCTTTCCCCATGTAGGGGAAGGCAGAGATCCCTATTAAATGTGTTTCCCTGCTCCATCCCTTCACCTATTAGTAGGTACAAAAACCAAACCTAAAAAACTCAAATCACAGCAGCTATCTCTTTACAGTTCATATGCCCAATTTCAAATAAAGAAAGATACTGTAAAAGTTGGAAAAACAGAGAGTAAAACAGGATTATTAGCCAGCTCTAATTATACAAACTGATCTCATCCCCTTGTCATAAGCCTCTTTCCTGTTTCCGGAATCTATTTGTGCTGCAGAAAGTCCAGCCTTTTGTAAATGTCCATGGATCATCAACACAGGGTGATTAATTTCCCATTTTACAGTACACACATACTGTCAAGCAATTCACTTGTAATCCGATATAACCCTGCCCTCGCTTGTAAATTTTTTCCTCTAATATATTACTAAAGGCAAACAGCACTTAAGATACCGATTTGTAAAATCCAAACAACGTTTCAAAAGGAGGCATCATGCTTCTATAATAAAATAAAAATCACAGACCACATCTTCAGTTCAAGTAGCTACATCCTAATAAAGTTAAGACCCAACAGTCGACTTGAATTAAAGAGCAGCATGTACGCAAGAGCACACATATGTTTATACTCAAATTAAGTCCTCCAACAGGTTCTGGGGCAGCTGTTTCACGTATGCAAGAGACTTTTATCTCAGGCTCAATATTAACTTCCAGAAATCCTTAGCAGACATTCTAGCTGCCTCCTCAAATGAGCAGTTTTGGGAGTAAACTGTGGGGAAGCTCTCAGTGAGAACCAGCTCATGTTTGCAGGGGTGATTCTCGACTTTGGGGTTTAACCAGGAGCTTCATGAAAATCCCCAGGTACCAAACTGGGCAGCAGAAGCATCATGCAAGTTACTGGTTATCTTTCAAAACAGAGATGCATTATATGGGATGAGGGGAAGAATGGAGGGAGGCAAGAACAGGCTTTGGGGAGCATTTCACCCCAGTGCATAAAAGGATAAACACAGTGGAGACCTGTCAACAGAAAGGAGATGCCTACAGCCTTACATATGCAATAGGAGTGAGCAAAGCCTCTAACTATTGATTCCTACACTTCTTACTACAGCACGTGTCCTTAAACCTTCTCCACTGCACTATCCTCTGACTCTCAAGGCTGTGCTGTTTGAGGAACTATGCTGAGCAATGATGGTTTCAGTAAAAGAAACATCACCCCCAAGCCCTAGATTTGAGCAGTAAGGCCCTGCTTCCTTCTGTGCTTCCCAAACCACAGCACTTGTACAGCATTCCCAAAAACATAGGCTTGCAGTAGAAAACTATCCGGGATGCCCAAAACATCATACACTTTAAAGCAGACAAATATGACATATTTCCTAGCATTTACAAACCAGGTAGTTACCCAATGCCTATTTTAATAAAGTCATGCACCAACCTTACTTCTCCACAGCACAGAGTTCTAGCCACAGGTCGAGTTGGAAAAAAAATAGCATCAATACCAAGATGCAAGACATGTTTCTGCTTGCATTTTGGTCTAGGAAGCTTCAGTGCCCAACATTTTAATGTGCTTTTCTTCTCTGAAGAATAATCAGACTCACTTTTCCCTTTAGGCTCCATTTTGCAAATGCTGCCACTGTGGCCCCAGGCACCAGAGACTTACTCAGGAAAAGCCTGGCTAACACTCCAGAAGAACATTTCATCAGAAACTTCAGGTTTCCTACAGGAGTACCTGTGCTAACCTCACTCCCTATGTCACAGCATGACCACATCTGACACCACAGAATTACAAATTGTTTCTTCATAATTGCTCCTCTGCTTTCAACTCACAAAACTATGGGAAAATGTTCTTCTCTAAACATGTACTTTAGGCAGTGAGAGAACACGCTCATTTTGCTGAAATATCTTTTCTGAAGCACAACAGGCTCAAAAAATGCTCCTCATTCACTTAGCAACTGCAATGATGGAGTCACTTTGTGTGGCATTCCCTGCAAGGAAAATGAAAGCTCTGCTCCCAGGACACTGTACTGCACTGGGAATATCCCACAGGAAGTACAACCCCAAGCAACATAAAATATTACATCCCTAGCCCAGAAATGAGAGAACACTCATTCAAGCCTCATTTGTAAATAAATTAAAGCATCAAATAATGAAAATCCAAGTAAGCACAGTTTGTACCCAGTTCCACTACCCCACCTTCTGCACCTGAGCCTTTCAGCAGCACGCTCATATGCAAAACCTCACATTTTGCAGACACCTAAAATTGTTTCTTTCAAAGAAACAATGTGCCTTTACAAAGTGACCTTTCAGGCTGGTCCCTCAGGAAATGAATGGGTTAAGTGCCCACAGGTCCCAGCCTCCCCAGTAAATCATTTATTACCCCAGCTCAGGGACAAGGAGCTCTGCAGAAGTGAGAGCCCACGCTGTGCAGCTGTTCCCAGCCAGGCAACTCTCCACAATTATGTTATAACACAGGATTAAACTTGGGGAGTGGAAATCCGTCCCTTCATTGCTGATGGCTTTTTTCTTTTTTTCAAGTTATGCAGCTATTTTAAATGTTACAGAGTTCATTAACATGAAGTTCATTAAGCAGTAACCACTTTATGAATGAAATGAAAAGACTGTCATTATAAGCACAATTATGGAAATACTAGACCAGCAGGTAGAAAAAGGAAAGGGTATGAGAATGCTGCTCCTGAACTCCAAATTAGCCTTCTTTTTCTCCCAGATCCTTCAGAGGAGGCACACCCAGAAATCAGACGTGAGGCAGAGGTTGGTTCCCAGGCAGGACTTCAGATGAGAAGCTCTTGCTGCCTGTGCTGGGCCTCCCCAGAGATTTCACTGCTGTAGATTAATGTAAAAAGTCACCCCCCTTGGTCACCCCCAAAAAGGGTCTGGAATCTTCCTCAGCAGTGAGCACAGCTTGCTGCAACTCACCACGCTCCCCAAATTAGCAGAAAGTTAAGAAACACTATGACAAATCAAGCCACAAATTGCTTCTCTGCAGCTGGTGTCGTGCATTCCTCCTTTAAACATGATGAACTTGGAGAACAGCTCTCAGCAAGCCACTTATTCATTCCTGATAAAGCAGGTTCCATTCATAATTGTGCCAAGGACTTTATTTCTTTCTCAAGGTCTGAAAATAGGTATAATTCCACTGTTCAACCCCACTGAAAAAAGGAAAACCCAAATTATTACGATACATACTTGTCTCTCTACAAGTAACAACAGTTTATGATTAATCCACCCAGCTGCTGCCACAGCTCAATAACACCAAGCGATTTGGACTCAGTCTCGTTAAAGCACTGCTCTTGTAGGAAAGACCATGGAAAACAGGAGGCACTGCAGAAGGTAAACAGGTTAGGGACAGTGGGAGGAGAAAAGAGACAGCTTGCTGTGGTTTTCCTCCCTCCCTCCCTTGACAGAGCTTACACATGGCAAGCACCCATTTCCAGGCAAGACTCTGGCAGTTTCTTTGCTTCAGGCTAACAGTTTTTGCACATTCAAGTCTTTTTGGAGAGAAAGGGTGTAACTCCATGAGTCAAACAGCTCCTGTCAGCATTGCAATAACCATACAGTCACGTTTAGGCCAGATCCATCCCATGATCTGGTTCACCACACCAAGAAGCTGGTGTTAGCTGCACAACAAACCCAGAAGCCTCAACAGCATGACTGCTCCGGGGCAGACAGACCGACAGCCGCTGTGCTGACCGGGAGGCACCTCAGCTCTGATCCTGGCCGGCTCCCGTGGAAATCCTGGGGCTGTAACCGTATGCCTGCCTGCCCCAGGGACATAAAAGCTCTATCTTAAAATATTAGGGAAAAACAGCTGATGTTTTAAGTGTTAAGTGCTATTTTATACCGTGGCATCTGGCTGATACAGGAGGCAATATCACACATCTCTTTTCTAACCCCACCACAAAGAGATTGTATTTTATGGCAAAATAATTTTTTGGATTTGTTTATATCATTGTAATTGCTCTGACATCAGCATCCCCTCCTCCTAAGGCTAAGTTTGACAAATGGCTTGACAATGGGCAAACCCATTCTCCCAAACCCCTCATCTCAATCCTGTTGTATACCTAAAAGAGCTGCCAAAACACTTAACCTTACTTTAACTGCATGAAGCAGTACAGGTGGCTCCAAGACGTTCCTCAGGTTGTTCCCACAGCGAGCAGGGAGAAGTAGGGCAGGTCACAACACTCAGCTCCTAGAAGGGGGAAGAAGAAGAAAGAGTCACCAGGTGCAAGGGTCAGCATAGCTGAGAGCAGTCCCAACACCCAAACTGGCACTGCCACACCTTCGCCAAGGGGGATGGAAACCATCCTCTCCCTTGTTAGCCATGTGGGAGGCATGTGTTGCCTCCTGCAGCAGTCCCATGTGGTTCCATGAGCACACACAGGTCAATGGCCACATTATGGATAGGGCTATTTATAGACACACATAGGCATCTGGCACCACCTAAGAATAACTGTGCTGCTGAGTTTATTTGCTGCTGTCCTGCTATTCCTGTTATTTGGTTTATCCCCAAAGCTGTTGATCTGCTGTCCATCACCATATCCCAAACAACTAAGCTGGCCTTAAGTCCTTTGCTTCCATCAACACAGCCTCTCCCAGACAGACTCCATTATACCAAGGTGTTTTAACAGTAACAAAGGTAGATGATGGCAGATGGTTAACAGCAAATGAAGTCCAAATCTACCAGGATGTCTCTGCCAAACCCTTTGGGGTTGCTTGCAATTTTCCACAGGCTGATTCCCTGCTCTGGGGCAAAATCTACTCAGTAGATTCATCCATAGGGATGGTCTCCAAAGCATACCTAGAAAGAGCAGTTAAAGTGAATCAAATGTCAAAAGGTGAAAAAGCCAAGGCTGAGCTATAGTTTATTAAATGCTGTGTGGGAGATTTTATTAGCTAAGTCGAAGTTATCAGGGTATCTCAGACCATCATTTGGTTACCACACCAGGAAAGGTTATGGCTGCACACAAACACCACCAAACACAAGGACAACACACCAATGGCCTCTTCTTGTTCTACCAGAGACACATTCTGCCCCTACACTCTCCCTGCTGGGAAAACATCCATAATCTGGGAATCTCACAGCCTGAGCCAACCTGCCAACCTCAAAGTGCAATTACAAGCACAGAAGTAACAATGGCAAAACTAGTTACCAGCTGGGAAATCAATTGTACTGTGTGAATTAGCTGGGGAAAGTACAGGACTGGAAGGTGAGGCACTGCACAACAAATCTCACTCCATCCACACAAGAACTGCATCACCTGAATACCTCAATGTTGGTTTTACACAATGTTTTTTCTTAAGATTAACAGCTAAAAGTCTCTTTTTTCCATTCTGCTGAGAAACAGGGAGAGTATTTTGCAAGGCAATACAGGGTACTGTGCTTTATTACAAATATGCTCATTTAGATGTAGACCAAAGAGGAAAACCAGAAAAAATTTCATCCTCTTAAAGTATGAGGATTGTGCATGAATTCCTTCATTGCCATGTCACACATTTCTGAATTACATTCTTATGCCAAACTACTGGAGCTGAAAGTGGAATTACCTGAACTCTTAAATCCCAGTTAAGAGCGTACAAACACTCTCTGGATTCATTAACCAGTAAAAACTACCCTCGCAGTCACAAACAAGCACACTGGAACTTTCCTCTGGCATTTTTGTAGTGTTATTTTCAGGACCTCAATTTAGAACATGGTTACTGTTTGATAAAGCAATAATTAACTATTTGCCATCCTGTGTTGATCTCCAAGGAACAGCTCTTTCCAAGGCACATACAATAACAATACACTGGTTTCACTCGTTTCTGAGACACTGATAACTTGGCTTTTAAGAGTCTATTTGTATATTTTGGCAGAGAAAGCAGGGTTTGCTGCTATCCCTTTGAACCAACAAGGACTGTGGGTATGGCTAACATTGCCAGGGTATCCGTGAGCATGCTGTGAATCACTGCAGGTTTTTCCTCATCTCCACTAAGGAATGAGGGTGTGTGTATGGAAAGCTCACTTGGATGCTCAGGACCTGGAAAGTATTAGCAACCGGAGAAAATAAACTGCCCAGCTATGAAAAACTAACATAGATCATAAAATTCTTCCTCACACTTTTTTGTCTGGTTTTATTCTGTGGGAGTTTTTATATTGCTACAAGAAGAAGAAAGTAACATTAAAGAGTCTTATGCATTTTAGTTCTGTATGTAAAGAGCCTGCACAATCAGCAAGGTTGTCAACGAAGTACTAATTCCCCAAAGAATTGATTTCTGTTTCCATGAAATCGTTATGGGAAAACTCCTGCATGCCTAAGCACACCCATTTCAGAAGGATTTCCCCATGGGGATTTCTTCTCCTCCTCCTCCTTTACTAGGAAATCATTACCAAGTGCTGACAAACACTGACATAGCTCCTATTTTCTGAATCTTAAAAAGATGGGTTTAAAATTTATGTTTCATGGGCAAGCTCATACTGCTTTACAAATGAAAAACTGCTCAGTATTATTACAAGAAAATGATGACATACAGTAGCTTTATAAAAAGCAATTTAGTTTCTACAAGGCTGTGTAAATATTCAAAACAACCTCTAACTGAATAATTTCTCCTCTAAAAGGGTTTACAGTCATGATCTCCCACAGTGCTCACTAAAGTAAATGAGAATGTAAACAAGAATCCTTTTGACACCCACCTTTACACATCCTATTTTGCTTGAGTTTAGTAAAAATAGGGGGGAAATCCCATCTCTTTTGTTAGGACACAGTTATTTGATAGCAGACTGTTTATGGTCTTGCTCCCTCCCCATTGAGACAGCTAAAGCAGAAATTACCCAAGCCACTGATTAATTACTGAAACACTCTTTATGAAGAGAGAGGAAAAGAAAATTTAAGGACAGTGTTACAGCTACTTACAATTTTAAGAAGACAACATTAACTGACCCTGTGGATTATATATGCAATTGTTGTAAGAGATGAGTAATTTTACCAAAAAAGCTCAATAGCTTAAAGGTGATCTGCATCTGATACATCCTCGAGAGGCAGAGGAGAAAAGCATCAAAAAGTAGTCTTGTTATATTTGTAAATTAAATGAACGACAGTGAATAACACAGACAAAAACGAAATTATTCTGTGTTGATAATCTTTTGAGAGGAATCAGTTGGGACTCTTAAACATGCTTGGTAGAGTCCCAACATGTGGACCTCAGGATTTCCAGTTACTTTGCTGATTCCTCCCCAGCAAACCCCCACCATTCCCAAACACTCCCCAGTGTCCAGAACAGAAGAAACCACTCCTCAAATTTGCTCTTTTTTTCCCTGCACCCAAACCTATTTTATTTTTCTGAGAAGTATTCCATGTTTTGTTGTTCTGCCATCTGAGTACTTTGACATGTTGAACAAGTTATCTCCCCATCTGGTTGTAATTGCCATTGCAAACCTTTCAACAAATTCAAAAAGCAGAACCAAGATGAGAAAATTAATGGTCTAGGAGATGGACAGCTGATTATTTGGGATTATCTGATACAGCTGGAACCTTTTCATAGACAAGGCACCCAAGCACAGCCAGTCCCCAGCACCTAAACAAACCTCTGGGGTTTTACCTGACTTTTGGCTGTTGCCTGCTATAAAACCTCCTCACGATTTCATATCAAATGTTGTCAAGGAAGACACTGTTTCTCCTCCTCATCTCCCAAATTGCTGGGTGTACAACTGTGTGCTGCTGCAATCTTTTGCTCTTAATACACAGCCTATACTGCACACCATGATATTCCCATTACGGGACATTCTTTTCCTGCTTCTGCCACATCTCCCAGGAGAGACTGGCTCACGAGACCTTTCCAGAAGTTTGGTTGATGGTCAGAACTGTATTTCCTAATTCCTTAGGGAAGGGACTCTGGACACACTCCTTGGACAACCAGAGGATCACACCCAGCCAGCATGGGTTTAGGAAAGGCAGGTCCTGCTTGACTAACCTGATCTCCTCCTATGACAAGGTGACCCGCTTAGTATTGAAGGAAAGGGTGCAGATGTTGTCTGCCTAGACTTTAGGAAAGCCTTTGACACCTTGTTTCACAGCATTCTGCTGGATAAACTGGCTGCTCAGGGCTTGGATGGGTGTATGATTCTGCTGCTTATTGGGTTAAAAACTGTCTGGATGGCTGAGCCCAGCACGTGGCAGTGAATGGAGGTAAATCCAGTTGGCAGCCAGGTCACACTTGGTGTTCCATAAGGCTCAGTATTGGGCCCAGTCCTGTTTAACACCTTTAACTGGATGAGGGGATCGAGGGCACTCTCAGTTTATAGATGACACCAAGTTGGGCAGGAGTGTTGATCTGCTGGAGGGCAGGAAGGCTCTGCAGAGGGATCTGGAAATGCTGGACCAGGTGGGGGTCAGCCTCTTCTCCAGTGTAACAACCAAAAGGACAAGAGGAAACTGCTTCAAGGTGCACCAGGCTTAGATTGCACATGAGGAAAAATTTATTCACCAAAGGTTGGTCAAGCACTGGAGCATCTGCTCAAGGAATTGGTGGAGTCACCACCCCTGGAGGCATTTAAAAGATGTGCAGAAGTGGCACTTAGGGACATGATTCAGTGGTGGTCTTGGTAGAACTGGGTAATGGTTGGACTTGATGACCTTAAAGGTCTTTTCCAAGCTATACAATTCTATGATCCTATATAAATGGAGGAAAAAACCATTATTTGCCTAAAATCTGTATTGCTTTGGACAACTGCAAATACAGTGTGATCCTCTAGCCATTGCATCAAGCTACATTTGTACCATAGAGTGGAGGGCAGATTGCAGCTCATCACATTTTGACATACACAGAACATTCCATTTGAAGTAAATGATAGGTTTTGTTTAAAGAGCAGCATCTGACTTGGCATACTGGATGAAGAAAAGCCAAGAATTTTAAAACAACAGAAAGTAAAATATATCCATATTTCACATGTCTCTACACATTGCAGAGCAAGCAATAATATTAAGATGTTAACTGGAGTCCCATCAATCCTGATTACCAAGAGATGGGAGATAAATATTCCTTCATATACACTAAGTTAACTTTTGAAACCCAAACTCTTTTGACAGTGTTGCCTTGAACTTGTAAACAGGAATAGTCCCATGGAGTAAAAGGAGCAAAAGGGAAGCAAGGAAGCAACAAACCAAGAGCACTTTTCTACTCATTCTAGCCCTGGGCAGACACAAATTTTCTCTC